TTCCTTCCCCTTTCCTTCCCCTTTCCTTCCCCTTTCCTTCCCCTTTCCTTCCCCTTTCCTTCCCCTTTCCTTCCCCTTTCCTTCCCCTTTCCTTCTCATCAGTAAATACAGATACTCCTAAGTCTGTTATCTGCTGTACCTTACTGTGGCAGATCAGAGTACTTAGGTGATTGATAGGAGCCTACTTAATTCCAACTTTAATCCTGATTAAAACAAAGACCATGTCTGTCTGGAATTTGTTTTTTAAAGGTTGAATTCTTGTACCTTTAAAGGCCTATTGGAGTCTTTGTTTTCAGAGCAGTCCAGCTATGGGTACAAGCATGAAGCAGTGGACTAGATTTTTTATTAATGGAATTTTTAAATCTTGACATTTAAATTTTTTAATTCTATGATGGACAAAGTCAAAAAAATGCCTGCTGTTGTGGGTGGGGTAGAAGCCAGGTCACAGACTGATTTAGACTGTTGATTGTCTTGGCAAACCCTCTCAGTGTTCAGAGCTATCCAGGGAAAGAGGAAAAACTCCCAGTATCTTTAATGCCATGTATTTGCTTACTGATAACAGCAGCAGCAGTTGACTGACAGGAGAGGAAGTTTCTAGAAAGATCTTTCAAGTCTGAGATAAACAGTAGGTGAATAAATTTATGCAATGCAATTTGTATATGGTCCCATGTTGTTCCTGTTACTGCAGGGTTTTTTGTAGCTTTTCATTCAACAAGACTTCTGAAGTCTCTGGAAATCCTAAGCTTGGCACTGTTCTTCCAAGTGAATGCTGACACAAAAACAGCTGTTCTGAGAATTCTCTTGCAATGCCAATTCAATATGCAATGTATAAAAGTAGTAGATGATGAAGAAAATACCTGAGTTTATGGTTTGGGAATATTTTATGCATAGTATTGTGGATAAAACAAATAAATGGATTTGTTTTTTCAGTGTGACAACTATGAAATCCGTCCTGGAAAGCACCTTGGAGTATGCATCTCCGTGGCAAACAACAGGTTATTTGTTGGGTCAATTCCAAAGAACAAAACTAAGGAAAACATACTGGAGGAGTTTGGTAAAGTCACAGGTAAGACTTAATGAGTCCCAGAATACCTTTAGTCTCTGCTTTGTAGATCTAGTTGTTTGACAGATGTGTTCAGGTATCACTTAAACTGTTTTCAAGTTGGATTCCAAGTTTGAATTTGTTAGAAATTTTATATATGTGCTGTATCTTAAGGTGGAGTGTAAAGGGACTTGTGTTTGTTTTAGTGATTGTTCAATGAATGATGATGGAACTTTACAGTTAGAGATGGAAACAGCTCAGATGAACTCAGAGAGCAGCACACACGAACTCTGAAGAAAATGAAGGTTCCAATTCTGTTACCTGTTCTGACTTTCTGTTGAAGGTTCTGTATTTGTGACTGGATCCACAGGAGGTTCTGCTGTCAACATGGAGAAGTTTTTTGGGGAGCCTGAAGCAAATGTATTCCTGAGTAGTGCAGGGGAGGAGGGAGTACTAAATTGGTTTAGAGGGAGTATTACTAGAGAAATAGTTAATAACAGACTAATTTTTTTGTCCCAGTTTTGCAGCATTCTCCAGTATGTGCAGCAAGTAGGAAAAAGAGAAGTCAGCTCATCAGTGAAAGGGTGCTTCTGCCTTAGATAAGAGATTGAGTCACTTGCTCTTGTTCCTGTAGGAGAGCTTTAACCTCCTGCTTCTTTTTTAGGGTTGCTATTTATAAGTACTTCAGGGAAGTGGTGAAAACAGAAGGTGAATATTCATTTAGTTCTCTCTCCTCTTTTTGGAGAGATGTGGAAGATGTTCCTTCTAGGTTCTGCAGGAGGCAGGGGAGAGGTCATGTGTTAGTGCTGGCTGCCTTTCAAAGATGTAAAAGTGATTTAAAAAGTATAGAAAACTTAGATTGTGTGAGTTGCTGAGGTTGATGTTTTGCAGAGCTATTCTGAGGAATTTTAATTGCTAGGTGACATGTTTCTGGGTAAATTGGATGAATATCTATTTGTTTTGCTTTTCTTGTGCTCCCACTCCCTTTCAGGTGTAAAACTGTAAATCACTACAAAACATGAGTGAAGGCATATTAGGGTAGACTAGATTTTTACTTTCCTTTTGAAGCTCAGTACTAAAGATATGTTTTTCAGAGGGTTTGGTGGATGTAATTTTGTATCATCAACCTGATGATAAAAAGAAGAATCGAGGATTCTGCTTCTTGGAGTATGAGGATCACAAGTCAGCAGCACAAGCTCGCCGACGCCTGATGAGTGGGAAAGTAAAAGTCTGGGGAAATGTTGTTACAGTGGAATGGGCTGATCCAGTAGAGGAACCTGATCCAGAAGTCATGGCAAAGGTCAGTGGAGACTTCACTGGATGCTCTTGTGCTTTGGGAGGAATTTCTTTATGCCACAGTGACAAAGATTTGTTGCAGCTGAGCCAGGCTAATTGTGAGGCACAAAAAGCAATTAGAGGGCATTTCACCCTAAGCTGTGCACGTGGTCTGAGCACTGTGGGTGAGTTGCCATTGGAAGATGTTGGAAATGTGCTGTTACTGACTGCTGTTAACATCTGAGCTAGTCCTGTGCAGGGTTATCCTGCTGGATGGACACATCAGGCTGTGCATTTTCTGCTTTAGCTGTAATCCATACCAGGTAGGTGTTGTGTGAAGCTGTTTTCCAGAGTGAGATAAAGGTGAAGTTCAGCATGGGGAATGGATGTGCATTTTATCCCAGTGTTTTGGGGTAACTCCTTCTTGTCCTGGAGGTCTGTTACTAAAATTTTGCTGGGATTTGTGGCATCCCAGAAGCAGAAAATCAAAGCTGGATATTCTTCTGATTATGGAAGGGAACTGTGAAAGGAGAGAAGTTGTAGAAACTTCATACAGGTAACTAACTACAAGGCACTTTGTTTTTTTTAAAACAGATTCAGAATTAATAAAGTTACCCAAATTTCTTAATGCAACCAAAAAGAGAATAATTACTAGTTAGTTGTTTCTTTTAAGGTTTGACTTTTAAAGATTACAGCTTTGTTCTCATTTTTCACCAGGTTAAAGTTTTATTTGTAAGAAACTTGGCCACTACTGTGACAGAAGAAATTCTTGAGAAATCCTTTTCTGAATTTGGAAAGCTGGAAAGAGTAAAGAAGTTGAAGGATTATGCATTTGTTCATTTTGAGGACAGAGGTGCAGCAGTGAAGGTAGGTTAATTATTCTTTCTTGGTTAAGTTGGTGAGAGCACTTTATTTTTTATGAATGGTTTTAAGAAATTTCTGTACAGTAAATACCTCGGTAAGACAAACCACAGAGCCCATTTAATAAGGTTCCCATTGTAAGAATTTCAGTGCTAATAATTTTGTTCCTATGATTTCAGTAGCTAGGAGGATGTGAAACTTGAAAGGACAAAACTGTAGTGAGTTAACAAGTAGACTGGAAAATTGATGTAGAGCAATGCAGGAGAGTCTAGAGAAGAGGAAAATAAGAGATCAGCCTAGACAATTTTACTGAGGAAACACTGGCAGAAGGTATCAGTTGTCTCTCAGAGACCCTTATTTAAAGGCTGTGTGTAGTTTTGGAGTGACAGAAGTATGAAATAGAAATTGGGAGGTAATTAAAAAATACTTTGTGAAGGAGAGGAGAGTGGTGTTGGCAACTCTTAAAGCATTTCCAGTTTTTCACTCTGCATGCACCTGAGGTTTGTTCTCAATGACTTGTTAAATATTGAAGATCATTATTGTAAGCTTCAGAGTTCTCCTCCTTTGTGGCCATGAGCTGTTGAGAAGGTCATTAATATCTGCTGACTGTGATTCAGTACATTGAATTCTGTAGAAATTACTTCATCTGTCTTTTAAATCCATGGTTCATAGGAGAGTAGGAAGTGTTTTTTTGAATTTTGGAGTCTTGAAGCAGATACATTGCATGTGGTGTATGTGGCTATATGGACAGTTCAAAGGCTCTGCACTTGGTCTTGTTAATGATTTTGTAGCCATTTAATTGCTTAGGATTTTACTACACAAGACATTAGGTTTTAGAATACTCTTGATTGTGGCTTTAAGATGAATATCAGTCTTACTTAGCGAGGCTGAGGTTGGTTTGGGTAGGTTTAGGCCGTGTCTGAGGGAGAACAAGAAGTTGTTCAAGCAAGGGGTAAGTCAGCACAGCTCTGGATGTGGTTTTGTGTAGTGTTTGTGAACACTCTCCAGCCCTTTCCAGGTACTGTTCCCTGCTGAGTGCTCTGTTAGATTTCAGCAACTGGAAACTTGCAGCAGCTGAGAAAAAGATCAAATGCATCACTAACATTCATCTCAAGCTGGAAACCACCACGTGTGGCCCATGTGTCTGTTTCATGGCCACTAAATTGGCTTATGAACTTTGAGATATTTTTGTGTGTGGATGTGTTTTGGCTTTCAATGAAGTTATGGTATTTATGTGTGGAATGCATAGAACTGGGTCATTGACTCCAGCATTTACTAATTTTTATCAGTAATAATGTGGAAATAAATTGCCACAATTTCTAATGCTTTTGAGGCACGTAGGTGTACAGACACAAAGTCTTCATTAATGCAAATATTAATACCCAAAAAAGTTTAATGCAATGCAGATAACTCCAGGTGAGGAAGTGGGAGGGTCTAGTCCTGATTGTATTTTGTGTATTAAGTTTTCTTTGTAGGCACATTTGATAGTAAAACATTGCACATTAATTTTCTGGAGGATTCAGGGCTTGCTTGATGACATCACCAACTTTCAGTAATCTTCTGTGGTTTTTCTCTCCTCAAGTATGTGTCCTCAGAACTACTTGATTTTCTCAGTCACTTGGCTCTCATTCAGCTACCTGGGAACTACAAATATAACAATTCTATCTCTTATGTGTTCTACCAGGCTTGTAAGTGCAGTGAGTGTTTATGTCAGTGTGAGTAGTGAGAACTTGTTGATTTCTGAAAGGTTTCTAGGAGATACAGGAACATAAAAACTGATGGTGCTATGTCTGACTTCATAAAATAATTCTTAATATGTTTTAATCCTCTTTTTTATCTTATTATATATAAAAAAAAACTGGTGAATGAAGTGGCTCTTGGAAAAGTGATGTGTTACATTCTGTTTATGTAGCACAAAAGCAAAGCAAATGGCAGAGCTCAGCCTGGAGCAGCCCAGCTGTCTGGTTTCTTGCAGTAAGTTTTAGTTCCCTTTGAATGGAAAAAAATTTTTAGTTATTTTTCTTTTAATTTTTGTACAGGCTATGAATGAAATGAATGGGAAAGAGATAGAAGGGGAAGAAATTGAAATAGTATTAGCAAAGCCACCGGATAAGAAAAGGAAAGAGCGTCAGGCTGCCAGACAGGCCTCCCGGAGCACTGCGTGAGTGTCACCTCGCCCCGCGGTAACGCTGCACCCTGCCACACAGGGGCTGCTCTGCAACACCTCAATGCCTTGGCTTGACTTTTCTCCACGTTTCATATTGTTAATCAACAACATACTGTATTTGGAGTTGCTTTTGGAGAGAAATAATTCTGTGCTTCTTTTTCTTTACTAGGTATGAAGATTATTATTACTACCCTCCGCCTCGCATGCCACCTCCTATGAGAGGCCGAGGCCGTGGAGGAAGAGGTGGATATGGCTATCCCCCAGATTACTATGGCTATGAAGATTATTATGATGATTACTATGGCTATGACTATCATGACTACCGTGGTGGCTATGAAGATCCCTATTACGGCTATGATGATGGCTATGCTATAAGAGGAAGAGGAGGAGGAGGAAGGGGTGGGAGAGGTGCCCCTCCACCACCTAGGGGGCGGGGAGCACCACCACCAAGAGGTAGAGCTGGCTACTCACAGAGGGGGGCACCCATGGGACCGCCGAGAGGAGCCAGGGGGGGGAGAGGGGGCCCTGCACAGCAGCAGAGAGGACGTGGTGCTCGTGGAGCCAGGGGCAACCGTGGGGGCAACGTAGGAGGCAAGAGAAAGGCAGATGGGTACAACCAGCCTGATTCCAAGCGCCGGCAGACCAACAACCAGCAGAACTGGGGCTCCCAACCCATCGCTCAGCAGCCGCTCCAGCAAGGTGGTGACTATGCCGGTAACTATGGTTACAATAATGACAACCAGGAATTTTATCAGGATACTTATGGGCAACAGTGGAAGTAGACAAGTGAGGAGGGATTGAGAATATTGGAAAACATAGAATTGGCTATAGCTCTACATCTTTCAAAAAAAAAAAAAAAAAGAAAAAAATTGGCTTAATGTTTCATCCTTCAGTAGCGATTGGCTGCCATTTGTATTGGGCTGAAGAATCACTCTATTGTGTATATACTCGAGTCTCTTAGTTTTCTTTTTTCATAAACGCACTTGGACATTACTGGGCTTGCAGAATTCCTGAACTCCTTATGGGGTCTCAGTGCTTTTATCATTTTAGGCTTCACTTTAGCAGTTTAAAAGCAGGAATGGCACACTGTTCAATCATGATTTTGCAGAACCTCTGGTTTTGGACAGTTTCTTCTCTTTTTTTTTTTTTTTTTTTTTGGATTTGGGATAGACTACATAGGAGTATGCTGTACATAAAAGTAAAAGCTAGTGCTTTGTCTTAGTAGTTTTAAGAAATTACAACAAATTAAGTTTTCTTGTATTGAAAATAACATGATTGTATGTTTTGCATTCCTAGAAGTAGGATAACTGTGTTTTTAAATTGTTATAACTTCACACCTTTTTGAAAATCTGCCCTACAAAATTTGTTTGGCTTAAAACGTCAAAGCCGTGGCAATTTGTTCCTTGATGTGATTGTATTTCCAATTTCTTGTTCATGTAAGATTTCAATAAAACTCAAAAATCTATTCAAAACATTACCTATTTCAAATTCAATTGTGTCCTAAAACATTATTTCATTGGTAATTCTTGTGAAAAATATTGTTTTCAAAGTATAACTGCCTATGTGAGTGATCAAATTCGTGCAAAATTTCCTGTGCTTTCCAACATGTAGCACTGTGGACATCAGACTGAAAACTAGGAGAAATTACGGACAGCCCAAAAGGCACTCACTGTTTAATTGCTGTTCAATAATTTATCAGCATCTAATTTTGAAACTTTTTTTTTCCTATTTAAAAGTGTTGAATTGTATCCAAGCATTCACAGAGATCTGATTAAAATCTAGTCCTCTAATGTAATGTGGAGAAGGAAGCAGATCCTACAATGGTGTTAATTTTGTTCCTTTGGTGATGTCCTGTGGAGGCTGTTCTGGTAGGATCCAGCCTTACTGTATAATTGAGCCTACAGACACACAGGGAAATTATTTTGATCTCAAGCATCTTAATCTAATCTCAAATAATATTTGACTAGGAATGAGAATTACAGCTTGGGTGCTATGGCACGCTAAATTAATTTCTTGCTACGGATAACACGAACATACTCTCCAGATTCTGCTTATTTCTATCTTGACATTTTAATTTGATGTTCTGCCATGATGAACAATTTGCCTTAGAATTCTCCTGCCTTAAAATAAAGGCTGTTCAAAAGTTTAAGACTTTATCTTTTGAGGGCATTGCTAGCTACATTATATTATGTGTTGCTTTGACCCTTGTCTTGGACATTCCCAGATGTCAATTTTAACTGGCAAATCATGACATTACTCTTGTGTTGCATCTAAGCCATTCTGTACCACAATGAAGAACATTTGCTTCTCAAGAAAAGAGAGAAACAAACGGATTTATACTTTCTCTAAAGAAAACTATTGCCGGACCTCTAAATATCCAAATCCAATGCATTGCTCATACTTGATTTACAGCATTCCAAACACAGACTATTGAGGAAGTTAAACTTCAGTGGTCATACTCCTCCCTTTGTCTTCTATTCCTGTCTGGTGTCTCAAGTGTGTAATGTCAGAATATTCCCAGTAAGATGAGGCTCCCCACACTGCTGTGGATCTGGAATGGGATTGCAGGGTTTGAGTTGGGACCTGAATCGAAGATGTCTGTCTGCTTCTCAGAAATGGGTTTGCCCATGTCAGCCTCTTCCAATTAATAGAATTGGTCATAAATAGCTTAAAAGTGCTTTTAAAAAAATCAATATCTATTATGTTGGGGTTTGGGGTTTTTTTTCTCCAGTTATGGAGCCAAACCATGTCCTCTCTGTTTCTTACCTGAGCAGTGAACTCAGAGGGCTTTGCCTGATTATACACTTCAGGCTTTTGCTCGTGGTAAGGATGTGGTTTGTAATTCTGTTCTAACACAAATTTTTGCTGCCCTATCTGAATGACTTTCTGGTAGTTCTACAGCTCTTACAGTGCTGAGCAGAACCCTGTAGTCCCAATAAGTATTGACTTTTCAGTATTCATTGTAAAGGGGATCTAGTACAAGGAGCTTAATTGGAATCGTATTTCAAGTGCTCTCCATCTTGGCAGAAGGCAGTGTTCCCATATTGCACTTTAGCCAGGAGAGGTGAGGTGCTAGTGAGGGCTGTGGGGGGACTGGGGGGGAGTTGAACACCTCAGTTATAGTGGTAACAAAAGAGCTGAGAAACAAAAATGTTAAAATTGTCTTCCTCAAGAACTGTAAGGTTGCATCTTGTATTTACTTCTCCCCAAATCATCATTTCTATTAGTAGTTTTAGTAAATATGTGGAGTGAGCTATTAATTTTTATAATTGAAAATCATAACAGTTAAACTCAGTAGAAGTTTCTATTTGCAAGATATACCAAGTTCTTTGATTTACATGGTTTATGGCTACTCAAATTCACCTTTTAAATTTGCAGCAGTACTTTTATTTAATCCATAGATAAGGTGTGCTACAGCTTACTTGAATAGTGGTGTGTGCTGAACTTGAAGAACTTAATGAAATGATGGAAAAAATTATCAACAAAGATACTGTAGTACAGTGGAAAACTACCATGCCTGACTCAAAGGAAGAATTTCTCAGCACAATTTGGACATCTAGTTAAAAAATAAATTTAAATTTACTCTCGTGCATTTCTTTTGATTGTTTCTTCAATATAACTGAGCAAAAATCCTCTATAATATGTTGAAAATGGATTTCAACTTGCACACCAATATTCAGCTTTTATGGGTGTCCTGCTGGCATTGGAGGAGGAGCCATGAAATGGAGTTTTAATAATCATTTGATCACTCATTTATAGCAGTTGCTTAAATGTCTGTATTGATAAGGTGTTTGACATAAGAAGCAAGTTACCAGACTCCTAGCAGTTCCAAAACTCAAGCAAAATACTTTACAGCTACTGTGTTATTATATAATTAATTTCACTTTATTAACAACTTAGTTTACTAAACTCAACTTAAAATTTTACTATTGCATTCAACAGAGTTTGCATTTTTTCCAAGTGTTTTCTAGCAATTGTTTATTTTTAAATCTCAGCTTCTGTAGTCTGATTATTAAAGAATGACAACTGCATTGCTTAAAGCTTTCCAAAATAAACTCGAAGTAGAAGATCACCGCATGATTTTGGTGACTCTGTATAAAAACCTGACCACTTTTTGTCCCTTCTCTGTTTGGACATTAAACCCATTTCTATAATTTGAACTCCACAGGAAAAAAAAATACAGAGGGCACTCTTATTATAAGGCTAGGAGAGAAACCAATGTGAAGTGCTGAGCATAAAGTCTTAAACCTCTCAAAAACAATTAGTACCAAGACCCAAAGACCCTACTGAATGAATGCATTTTCAGCAAGGATTAATTGTTATCTAAAAGTGCTGGTGGCCCTTCCATAGAACAGCCAGGAGCTCTCCTAGAAATCTGTCATCAGCAATCTTTGATCAGGCATGACTTGAGGAGGAGTATGTGTGTGATGAAGGATTGCTAGTGAGGTGGAGGCTGTCAGTGGAATTCTGTCATTCGTGTGACCTCTGTGAGTAGCTCAGAGCCTTATAGAAAGAGTGTACCACGTTGTGTTCCTGTTTATTCTAAAACAACAACAAAAAGAAGTTAGAGCTTCTGTTAACTTAGAACTTGAATGAAGCTGTTGTAGTCTATTGGCTTAAATTGTCCTTTGAAACCCAGAGCAGTTTGGTTGAGCATGTATTAGTTGATAAAATGTGTAGAGTAGGGAAAAAAAAAATCATTTGTACTGAAGGGAAAACATAAGAAATGATGAAAATAGTCAAGGTGGATCTGCGATACTTGGTTATTGATCAGGAACTTCTGAAATTTTAGAACAGGAGAATCCCTCTGAAGAAATGTTTTAACAACTTGGAGGTTACCAGAAGCTCTGAAAGACAGTTCAGAATATATTTTCTGATGTCCAGAAATCTGCAAGTGTCAATTTTGTATTTTAACTCCTTCCTTTTACCTGACTATCAGGGAAGCGTGCTTGAGGCTGACCTGACATGTCATGATGTCGACTTGCTAGGTGGGGTTCGCAGGGGACATTAACCTTGGAGTTCTAGGTAAGAAAACTTTCTTTCTCATTTCCTTCAGTAAGATGAAAGGGTTGGTGTGGGAGGAGGGAGGATATGAGCTCCACAGACCTGAGCACTGGAATAGCTTTCAAAATCTGCCATTACCATGGAGAGATTGCAAATGTGGAAGGTAAAAGTTGAGGTTAAATCTGTCCATGTTCAAGAGAGGCATATGGTATAGGTTCTTGAAATTAATTTGAAAATAAAGATGACTTGCACTTCAGAAGAAAGGTGGATGCTCTTTTAGGAGTGCTGGAAGCATAAAACATTTTGAACATTTAAATTTTTCCTCTCTAATTAAATCCAGGTATGGGTTGGATTTCTTTCCCCACCTGTGGAAAAGCAGAATTTGCAGCACACTTCTTCAAAGCTTAAGAATGCTGTTAAGAAAAGTGTCCAAGTAGATCTCTGGAAAATAATAAAATTTTGCCTTGGAAATAACAAAACTGGCATATCATGAGTTTGAATCATTTATGTATTGAACATGATAATGCTTAGAAGTCATTAATCAAGAGAGAATGGCTTTTGTACCAAGGACAGCTGTAGTTGATCCCATTATAAAATCCCACTGGATTTTGATATTCATCTCTTTTTGTGGAAGGCATATGTTGATTCTAGACAAACATAGCAAAAGCTGAAGAACAGGTTTGCAAATCAAATACTTGGACATGTTGAATTCTTCATGGCACCTGCTCATCTTGCACCTTTCCTCAGCCAGCAGACTTGTCTTTTCCTGCTTGTTCATGCAGTCCTTGGAAAGGAGCAGAGAAGTTGGAAAAGCTTTCTAGGCTAGAGGAGCATTCCAGGTGCAGTCATTGTGGGACTGAATAGCATGCCAGTTGTGACAACACCTGCAGAAGAAATGTGCCTGGTGAGTACAGGTATTTTGTAAGGAATTTTCAGAAATGAAGTATTTGTTTCGTTCCAGATAAACCTTACTCGGCATAGCACGACTTGAGAACATTATGATCACACAAAGTCATCAGTGTTGTTTCACTTGGAAAATCATAAACAGAAAAAAGAGGATCTCTTAATTCTGGAGTTTCCAGTCTGCATGTCCCATAGAGCTGCTGGTAGTGAGTGCAGTAGGATGTGTTGCACATGCCCAGGTGGTCTCTGGGAAAGGAAGCAGAGGGCAAGGTCCTTACAGGAGAAAAAGCAACTGAATGGAATTGCCTTTTGCACATGTGGAATTTGGAGATAGCTGGAAATGATGGGAATGGGACATGCTCCTTTCATAAAACATCAGTCTCTTATCAGTGAAGTTCATGAGTTTAAAACACAATGTCAGTATGTATTTGTGTGATTGTAAGCTGCCAAATTGCATTAAAGACAAAAAAATAAAAGGGAAAAAAGAATGAAAAGCAGACCAAATTCCAGTTCTGCCCTCCTTGCTTCAGACACAAGCTTCTCTTTTTTCCTTCTTCAGCACCAGTGAGTGTACAGTGTTCTCATTGGATTCTCCTGTTGAACTTCTGTAGAGCTTGTGTAAGTGTAGGATACACAGGTTCTGTTTTTAAATCTTCACAGCAACCTGTGAGAGGTGATTGTATTTCCATTTTAATTTCGAGGAATGAGCATCCATTGTATCAGCACCTGTTCACAGGACATTATTCTTTCTGACATACCTTCAGACATTTCACATTTGGTGTGCAGAAGGTGCATACCCAGCTGGAATTTCAGAGGAAATGTGGTGTAAGCATTAATTTCATGATAGGAGAGGAATCTGATTCTGGAGAGCATGCAGCTGTCTTAGCAATGGATGCTTCTTTCTGTTCTGGAATTTCCTGCTGTGCTGCTTTAACTGCTGCAGGAAAAGAGAAGTGAAATGCTGCATGGGCTAAAAGTCCTGTGATTAAAAATACTTGCAGTTCTTAAGAAAAGCCCAAACCAACCCAACAACCTTTGCAAAAAACCCAAAGTCCCAAACAAGGAAAGACAGCCTGGCTGTGCCCACAGCACCCTGGGGACTGGGCAGCTTTTCCTGCTCTCCCTGGGAAGGGCAGAGGAGTTGCAGTAGAGTCCTTGCAGGTAGGTGGTAGCTGGTCCTGTTTGGGAAACACCCAATAATGCAGCAGCTCAGCTGGATCATTTTTCAGTAAACATGAATTATTGGCAGGGGTGGCTCTGATCTGACATCAGATCTCTGGGGCCTCTCACCAAAGTTTGCTGTGTGCCACTCCAGGAAGAGGAAAAGAGCTGGGAATTCTTATTGCTTTCTCTTTTTGCTGGAATGGGCAATTTTCAGGTATTTTATAAATCTGCTCATGCTGCAGTAGGTGTTCTCTTCCCACCTTGGCAGTGTCCTTGGTGCAGTATCAGGAAGGTCAGAGTTGAAAGGGCTGTGCTGAGGGGTTCATAGGGCTCTTCTGGGAATCCAGAGATCTTGCACAGTGCTGAAAATTAGGCCAGGAGAATATTGCCCTAGCATTCAGAGTCAAGTTCAACAGGGTCAAAAACTGGAGGGCTGTAGATCATACAAAGGTCCTTTAATAGCCAGAGAGCTGAGCAGTAGCTCATAAATAAGGACAGTCATGCTTATCCCATTGTGCTTACTCCAGAAATTTGAGCAGCCACCTTTATTCTCCTGTTTCCAAACAGTTCTGGATTAAATTTAAAATTTTTGGTGGACACAGCTTTAAAGATGACTCTTAATCATAACCATTTCTGTCAAATTTGGTTTTCTGCCCCACCAATTTTCCTTCAGCTATTATTTAGGGGTTCACTACAAAAACCCTATTAATGAATACCTAGTCAATCTTATGCCGTTCATGTTATTTTTGATTTCTGTAGCTTTGATTTTCAAACTGCTGTACATTTGCAGGATGCCAATACATTGCATTGCATCTAATAAGCAGTCTGTAGGCTTTTTGATAGAGCAGTGCTGAGCTGAACACACAGGTCAGAGACAAAATTCAGTTTCAGGTTGAAGAGTGAGTCTGTAGCAGTTCTGGTGAACTTGCCAGCAGGATTTCTCAGCTGCTTCTCATTCAGATCCTAAGTGATACTTGACCATCAAGCAGTTCTTGCTGCTCTCATGCTGGACAAACCAATGATTATAGTAGAGACATTGAATTTAAGGTTCCATAGAAATGAGGATACTTAAATCCCTAATGGTAGCATTGTAGCTTCTCACTTCTGCTCTTCCTTTCCTCTCCCATTGTTGGTTGGATGTTCACCTGTACTTGTCTCCTCATGTAGAGAGAAAGAGGAGAAAAGCATTTCCTGCAGTGTCTTGGATGTGTTGAGCCAACAAGCTGCTGGTGCAGATGCAAAGCTCTATTGCAAGGTTTGAGATTTTTTTTGAGTGGACCTTGCTGGTTTTCAAATGATTTTTTTGATGTGGTATGTAAAGGTAAAAATACTGGAGGATTCTTCAAATTTCTTTGATATTATTCCTTACCTACCTGAAGTATGAGAACTTGAGTTACTAATTTCATCAGCATTTTTAGATGATAGATCTTGCAGAGAACTGTAGGCACGGACTTAGGATCTAATTTGCTCATAAAATCATTTTATACAAAAAACATTCATCATTCATCATGTTTGTGAAGCATTAGAACATGTATTGTCTTTAATGTTCTGGTAAACATTAAATCTTCTCTATGTTTCTTTCATGGCAGTTCACAGAAAATAAATACGCTTTTTTCCCCTCTCCTTTTTTGCTTGACTGACTGTTGGTTGTAAAGTTTTAGCTTTTTCTCTCATGTCAAATTGATGTTTTCTTCTATGTGCCTTAGGAGTGGGTTCAGAAGGGTTTGCAGTGTAGCATGTAAAATCGAAAGGTCACAAATTAAATCTGTTTCACTGGCCAAAGTGGGATCTGTGCAGTGAAGGCTGCACCTTCCCCACTGAGGGAGGCTGTGTGGCCAGAGAGGTATCTCCACCAATGGAGGTTATCTTAGAAATAGCTTGAAAAATCCTTTTAGCAGCTAGGCTGGGGTTTAAAATAGAAGCAGCTAAAGAACATCAAATGTGTGGGTGTATCAGTGGAAGTTACTGAAATGAAATACAGATGTGCAGCTATTTGAGTAGCTCTGTGATATTTCTGGTATGAGATGTGTGTGGTGTGGGATGGGCAGTGTTTGTTTACACATCTGGGAGAGCACTCCTGTGGTTCTCACTGGTAATTGCTGTGATCAGCTCCACCCCTTCTTTCACCAAGCAATAAGTAGTAATGGAAATTTGCATTTCAGGAATACATGAAAAGCAACTCTTCTGTTCCAGCAAAGTCTGGACTCTAGCATAAAGGTTTAGAGTCCAGTTTTGTGGTGGGAATAATCATCCTTCTTCTCAGAGGCAGCACTTGGGATGTTTTTTCCTTTAACTTCACTTTCCTTGATTTTTCACTCAGTTGAACTTTTTATACTGATTCTCTGTTTTCTGTTCTCTGATTATCCAAGGACCACATATTTGAGTTCTTGGGGTTCAGGTGGGATATCCTGACTTTCCATGAGGATTATTTCTGCAGGGTAGAACTTTTTGGCATTCTGAAGAAAATTGGCCTATTTTATGTTAGAATTGTCTTGTTTGAGCTGTCAAGTGCAACTGAAAGCCTGAGTCTGCAGACAGGATCTGAGCAGTTCCTACTGACACAGGCTATTTTAGTGTTGCTTTTATGTGAACAAAGGGTGCAAGTGAATTAGCTCAGAAAGTTTTCTACTCAATATTTCTACAGAATGATTGACCTTGGGAAAAAGAGGAGACATCAGACATTTAGGAAAGCAGTCAGTAGAGGCTAATGAATAAAATCCAAATCCAAAGTAACAACTGGCTTGTAGGCTGGGTAACCAGGAGAGGAGCAGGAAGTGCTAACAGTAAATAACATCTCTGCTGTCTTCTGTGGCTGTTTCAGTTTGAGCTTGAAATGCAAAGAAGTTGTGTGTTGTGCATCTCTTTAACCATTGTGTATTTCTTACAAAGCCTCTAGTAATAAGTTAAATAATCCAGGACAGACCACAAGGATGCTTGGTGTAACTTTTTTTTTTTTTTAATTTAAAAATGCATGTTTTTCAGATACTGAGCTGGATCTGGCCATAGAGACTGTGAACTTTGCTCTTGATGTAACAGAAACATGGGGTACATAATTCACATTGATTCTCCATTGTCATGTACTGTGTTGGTAGGTGAAAATTAGATAATGATGCCTGAATTGATTAATCCCCTGGGCATGGAGGAAGTGCAGTGTATAAATATGTAAGAAGACTTCCAGGAGGAAGTGTGGGATTGGCAGAGCCAGGTGGATCTCAAGCAAAGCCAGACTGCTTTTTGATGCACAGAGCCTCTGCTTGTGTTAGCAAAACATTCTTCTCTGTTCCAAACTGAGACCACAAAACCTTTAGTGAGAAAAAACCCCACAATCAGACTTTAATACCAAGAGCCTGAGAATGATTGCAGTTACTTACAGAGATAGGATTGCTTGATGAAAATTGAGATGTAAGCATGATTAGATGTTCATTTACATGTTACACTCTTGAGTTCAGTCCTGTCATAAAAACAGTTCAGCCAGTGCAGGTGTCTCAGTGCTGCTGTGAGAAGATGGCAGAATGAAAAGAGAAGAAAAAGCCTATGGCTGTGTAAATGCACAGGTTTTTTTCTCTCTATTAGTTGTCTAAATAAGCTATTTTAGAAACTTTAGTTATTAACAGCAATCAGAAATCAGGCTCTGAAGAAGTTAAAACTCATTTTTATATCTTAGTACACGAGTGCCTGGACTCCTTTATCTGCTAATAATGTTTAACTTCCATTCTCATCTCATAATCCCTGAAGAACATTCATGATGCCAAATGAATTGAGTTGATAAGTTACCTCTCCTTGTCTGTGTGGAGAAGTTTGCTTGCTGGCTTTCCTGAAAGGATTTCAGGACTTCATTTATGCCACCTGCCATTGTAGCCTCTGCACACACACTAGGATTCTAAAGCTGTGGCACAGTTTGAAATCAGTTGGAGCCTGGATATTCTTTAAAATTTACAAAAATCTAGCAAAATTGCAATTTCCCTCTAGGTGACTCTTGGCCTGTGGCAGTGCTCTGGGTTGTAGCCTGCAGGGCAAAGCTGCTCTTCACTGCCTGACTGATGTCTGGCAGAACAGGGAATGTGGAAAGGAATTATTAGAGCACAATTATCAATCACATTCTGGGTTTTTGGGCTGGAAACCATGCTCTTAAACTTGTTAGAATAATACCTGCAATAATCAATATATGCTCCACTACTTAAATCAAGTTTATTTTTAGCCCAGCGGGTTTTTAATTGAAACTGCTCAGGCAAAACTTGTTTTTGAAGTATTTATAATTGCTTCTTAGAAATTTCAGCTGAATGTGGACTGAAGGAATTTGGGCATACCAGTAGATGGCTTCTCAGTGCCCTTTACAACACTACACTGGGGGGAAAAAATTAAAAAAACAAACAAAAAAACCTGGCAAGTAGAGAAGTTAGACAGAAAATTATATGACTTCCTACTTTCTTTTCAATATTTATTGTTACATTTTTTTAATATTTTTCCTTTTCTAGGTGTTTTCTACATCTCCTGGGCTTAGGCTTTGTCCCTCTCAATCTCTTATGGTTCATCATGCACCAGTAGTCAGCATGATCAGGTTTGGTTCATATTTACCTCACAGTTTAGGACTCACTGCAAACATTTAAAAGGAAAAAAAAAAAAAAAAGAAACACATATTCACATCTTCCTGGTTTTCTGTACTTTAAATTGAAGTGATTAGGAAGCTGGGTTTTAATGAGCTTTTAGTAGAGGTGAGACAGAGAAGTGTGTGTGTAACTGCTCATTATATTTGTCTGAAAACATCTTTTTGGGTGTCACCTGACTCAGTGCCTTCTCAGGTCCCTGCTGCTTTGCAAGGCTCAGGTGGAATATTTGTGAGCCTGACACAACCAGAGAGGCAGAGGAGGATAAAAATCAATTGTGTTCTCAGAAGTGGAGCTCAGTGCCTGCTTTTTCCACGTGATTTGGGTTGGACCAAACAGTTCTGGTGTTTTATCCATTGAAACCTGGTGAGGAGCAGCACAGAGCTGCATGGCCTGGCTGAAGGAGGGCAGCCCTTGGGAGCTGGAGGCAGGTAAGGCTTGGTGCAGCTTTTCCTTGTCCAACCCTTGCTGTCTTTGTGCTTTACCTTTGTCTGCAGCTTTTCTTTGCTCACAAAGGTGTCAGCCCCATACACCTGCATCCTTTCCAGTTTCTCATAGGGAAGTTCCTGATCTTGCCAAAACCCAAGCAAAAAGTGAAGCTTTGCCAGCAGCTTTTCAGCTTTTATATGCTTTGCCATGGAGGTCTGTGCTTGTCTGTGTTTCCACTCCATGTGTGACCCTTTCTCTTTGGGCTTGGACCTTTTCCCCTTTTCATGGTGGCTTTTCAAGGCTTGGTCTTCCATCCTCCTACTTGGCTTACATTTACAATAAGTAAAATATTTTCAGTCCTTTTGTTGATTTTGGTAGGTTTTGTCCATCACTCAGAGTGCAGGGTAATGTCTGAGGTGTAGGTGATGTTTGAGGTGGTGTTAGAGGTGATTCTGCTTCACTGACTCTGAAAACCTTCCCATTCCATTGAGGTGTTCCCATCTCTGTAGTGCTGCCTTCCTAACACTGCTGAGCTGAAGAGTTTCCATCTTCCAGAGGTAAGAGGAGGGATGAGATCAAGCCCTTTTTGGCTTTGTGGTTTTGCTCTGTTGTCTGAGCCCTTTCTGATACAAATTGCATGTCTTGTGACCCAAGAGTTGTAGGTGCAGAAATCAGCTTGGTTTGAGTGAGCTTTAGGGTTTTATATCCACACACTGATGGCAGGACCCCATCAACCTTCACAGCTCCTTGGAACAGTTATTTGTTGCTTGCTTTCATTTGAGGATTTTCCTCAAATGGGAGGGAGTGATTTTCCTCTGGGTTCTTTCATCTCTGGTATCTGGCCTGGATCATCAGCCTGGCTTAGCTTATACCTCTTGCTCTCTTCAGACTTCATTCATTTTTTAGAGAAATAGGATGTTGTGATCACATTTCTTGTATCTTAAAATCTCTAGTTTCTCTGGACTTGGCTGTTTTGTATTCATGGCTTTTGGCTGATAGTCTTAGGAAATGCTTTTGGGAAGTGTGGTTGTGCACATTTGTGTACTCCTGCAGTAGCACCTTGCTGGTGACACTTGGCAGCTATCATCTCTTACACTTGCATAAACAACACAAAGCCTTGCAGCCTGCTTGTTCATCATTCATGTGAGCACATCAAAGTCATTTAGGACTTTAAATCCAAAAAAAGAGTCAGCAAGCACCAGTTAATGTCACTGCTGCACAATGTTATGAATTGCCTGAGCAGATGTTAGTGAAATGACTGTTGGGTTTTATTTCATCTGCAGGATGTTCAGGTTGATCCATCTCTGAACAGCTTCTCTCTCCTTAATGGCCAGTTTGGAAAAGATGATGATCTGTTCCACAATAGCTGGGATTTCTTTTTATTCTGCATGCTTAAGAGAAGTATCTAAAATATAGCAGGATGAACAGAATTAAAAAGAAGAAAGCCTTACAGCTAAAGTCAGGAAACATGGATATTCATTACTTAACCATGGACCAAACCTCCAAACTGGTATTCAGAAACTGAAGTGTAAAAACAGCTGAAATCAGTTCTGGCAGTGTGTCACATTCCCTGTAGTGAGCTGAAGCACAGGCTCAGGTGAACATCACCTGCATTCTTGTTTCCAGAGTCAGTCCTAAGTTTTGGCTACAGATAATTGATGCAAAGAGTTGCAGCTTATTTTGAAAGAAAACCCAGTAAGGATCTTTCCAAGTCTACCTTAGGAACTTGGGATATTTGGTGACATGTGAAATAGGTGATTTTGCTTCACTTACCTTTGGCTTTATAGAGAGGCAGGAGGATGGTGTAACACCTGCTCATGCTCTCTGCAGTTCTGTAAACTCTGTGTGTAAGGGTTGATTCATTATTTGCATATTGATATTACTACCTGGCACTCTCAAAAAGCCTTCCCTGAGATTGTCAATTCTGTTTTATTCATGTTTGCTGCTTTTGTATCTCCCTCTTTTCCATGGGGTAGGATTGCAGGATCTGTGCTCTTTGTTTCAATAACTTTCTCCTCTTTGAAATGCCATTATTTCTGGTCTGTTTGTAGATGATGAAGGATAGACACTGTGATGGGCACTAAAGCATGGACTTGAAGTGTGCACTCTGGTGGCAGGTACTCCTATCTGATCCCCTGGTCTGGTGTGTGAGGGTTTAGGTGCTGTGTGTCTTAGCTGTGGTTTTCTCCATTTATTAATTTCAGTGTTGATTGAAATGTTTGTCTTTATTTATAGCATATCCAACAGCTGTGTTGCAACAGAGAAGGTAAGTTTAGAGCTGGGGCTGAAGGGGTTGACAAGCTCTGGATAGTTAATGTGTTTTGGTTTTTTTTTCTAATACAATCCTTAAAGTTTATAGACAGATGTTGGATGTTTTGAGGATTTTCTTGGAGTGTCCTGATGCTTAAGATCAGACAGAAAACCGTTGTCAGCAAAATCAAAGAAATTTCTCATGAAGAAAAATTAATTCTGAATGTTGGTTTGGGAGCTGATGGTGAAACAAATGGGAAGTTGTGATCTTGGACGTTAGACAGCTGCCAAAGCCAGTACAAAATGGCAAGAAACAGAGCATTTATTATATATTATATGGGGAGGAGAAGAGATTAATTTGAAAATTAGATTTTTAACCATTCTTGCAGTATTTATTTGTCTTTTAAGATATAGACACAGTAAATTCACCAGTCTGTTCAGTGAGATATTTTTCCTATTAATTTTCCTAATTGAGAATTACTGTTAATGTCACACTTGTTGCTAGAAGCTATTGAGCTGGTCATGCTCATTTTTCTCTGCTGAGCTCAGTGAGTTTTGCTCTCCACTCTGTGATGGAGGATTGCTGGTTGCTGTTAGCTGTGCTTTAAAGACAAGAATTCCTGGGTTTGATCAAGTTTAGGACATGTTTGTTCTAAAGCCTAATAAAAGCATTAACTAATGTATATCTCATTTCTCTGATGTGGGTTATAAGGGACTTGCCTGTCAATACATCTGAATTATTTAATTAAATCTGGATCTCTTCCTTAGCTAACAAAGCAAACAGTCTCAGATATGCTTTGCTAGGCAGAATCATGTGTAGACAGCAAGGTTTTATTATCTGTCAGGAAAAGTGCACTATAAGAAGATGAAATCTAGATGACCTTGACTGAAAACAAAGAAATAAAATTTTATGAGATACACTATATTAATGCCCCAACTTGGATGTAGGAATTCCTGAGCAGTAATTTTGTTTTAAGTGCCATTAAAGCTCTGTGTGCAATCTGTACTTCTGCAGGAAATGTGAAATATCCCAGGGACTGGCTGCCTGCCTGAAGGACCCAGTACCTGCCTTTGATGGCAAGTGACCTGAGCATGGCTGTGCCCATGGTGGCACTTCAGGTGGGTGTGTTACCTGTGTTTGCAGACTTTCCTTGTTCTCTGCACTGTACCAGAAACTGCACGTGTCTTGTACAATCTGTTTGGCCCTCTTGTAATGTCTGGTTTTCCTAATAAACATCTTTTGAAGTCTTTGCTTTGTGGCTGATTTCCAGGGGTCCAAGTTTCCCATGTGTTAGGTACATCCTTCTGATGTATTCTTTGGATCATGCAGGGAGGAGAAGAAAAACTCATAACTGCTTCTTTTGAATAAAAAAACTTTATTTGAAGCTGCTGTGTCCACACAAGACCTTCACTGGTAGTTTCTCTGTTTTGAGTATTTTCTTGGAGTGTCCTGATGCTTAAGATCAGACAGAAAACCATTGTAAGCAAAATCAAAGAAATTTCTCATGAAGAAGAGTCAATTCTGAATGTTGGTTTGGGAGATGATGGTGAAACAAATGGGAAATTGTGATCTTGGGCTTTTGTTCCTGTGAAGTGCCAAGTCCTGTGGGGAAACTTCAGCCACATGAAGGTGAACTACCAAGAGTTTGGCTTCATCCTGGCTTGCTGGTTTTTGATTCAAAGGAGGACTGAGAAGAGAGAAAAATGCACCCAATGGTGTTTTTCAATTTTCCTCCATTTGGTTCTTTCTGAGAGGATGAAAGGTAGCCTGTGTGCCCATGCAGATCTGGTTTCAAGAGGTGAACATTTGTGTGCATGTGTGTATTGACTTCAAAATCCCTTTTTTTTTTTTTTCTATGGCATGCCATGGAGATCAGTTTGGTTTTGTTTTTCAGTTCAGCTGGGCAGATATTACCAGAATCCCTCAGAAATACACTGGGTTTTCCTATGCTTAATCCTTTTTACATGCAGCATTGTACTAATCTTGCTGAATAGCAGGAATGTAGGTTCCTGACAACAGCTACTGCAGAAGTGTAAATTAAGAAGCTGGCATGAGGTTATTTTGGAGACTTGGCCATGAAAACAGAATTAGAGTTAATCCTATAACAAATATGTTTGGCAACTTCAAAAAACATCCAAAACCAAACATGTTTGGCAACTTAAAATCCAAAATGATGTTTGATTCAGCTCTGACCCTCCTCAGACAAACAAAACCTTCTCAAATGTGTTCTTTTGGCCCATTGTGGTGTCAGTGCTGTGTGTGCAGTCCCTGGGCACAGGCCCTGGTGTGCCTGCTGGCAGGCAGCTTGCTCCCTGGGAACAGGGTGGTGTGATGCTGCATTCCATCAAAATTCAGTGAATTTCTCCTATTATGAAAAAAGTTTATCCTGTGAACAACCAAGCAAATGACTTTCATGGGGAGAGAAGAGACAATTTTCAACTGGGACTGGCCTGAAGGAATCACTGGCTGCAGATGAGGAGCCATCCCCAGCCCTGCAAGTCCACCAGAACAGGAATAAACTTCTTTAGGTTGTGTTTGATTGTGTGAATTCCTGCTTTTTCCAAAGGCACCTGTGAACTGGAAATGAATCTGATGTGTAATTTGTATTTGTGTGAGCCCCTCCTGCAGTGCTGCATCCCCTCTGGGAGGTCCCAGCACAAGGAGGACAAGGAGCTGCTGGACAGAGATGCTCTAAAGGCTGGAGCTCTGTTCAGGGGCCATGAGAAGGCTTGGGGGACACCTCAGAGCCCTTTCCAGTGCCTAAAGGGGCTCCAGGAGAGCTAGAGCTGAGTTACATTCTCAGTATTTTACTTTTATTTTGCCCCCAACAATTTAACTTGATCAGTTGTAGACAAAATTATTTATGGTGTGCAGTTCTCATGTTTTAAAAATTAACAAGCAGCTCTTTACAAGTGATTTTATTGCCACCTGCTGGAGTTCAAATTAAAAGTCAGATTTTTTAAATATATATTTTGTCTGCCTGAAATGCCCTTGGATAAGGGCAGGTGCATTAGAGATGTACTTAAAGAAATGCAGGCTAACCTGTCCCTTAGCAAAGCACTCATTGACTCATCTTGTTTGTAAAGATCAACTGAGAAAACAACTGAAGGGCAATATTTGAATTTTATCTTTATAAGGAAATCAGAAAAATTTGGCAGGAGACAGAATTGGAAAACAGCTTGCAAATGTTGGTGCTGTCAGCTGAGGTGGCAGATGTAGCCTGGAGTGGGGACATCACAGAGCCAGGACAGTGCTGGGAAACTGGGACCTCCAGCTCCAGAAACAAAGGTTTCCACACAGCTGCAGCAGCCTTGGTGAGAATTTGGGGATTTTTGCATTCCTGGGCCTGCCTTTCATCCAGAGGAGCTTTGGAATGGAACTGGACAACTCTGCAGTATAAATTTGTTACTGATCCTTTCTCCTGAGCTCTGCTGCTCTGAACTCCTCTGGCCAGACTGTGCAGGAGGCAGCACTGCTGGCAGCCTGGCTCACTGCGAGTTGGTTGTGTCAGTGCTGATGATTTTTGGGTGCCTGCAAAGCAAACTCTAACCAGGATCACTGCAAATTAGCTCAAATTAGCTCCTTGTCCCATTGTGACCTGGGGTGTACCAGGAAAATGAGTGCAAAGTTTCCTTTGCCATGGGGGGTTGGAGGAACCTGACCCACCTGCAACTGATGTAAATATTAAATTAAACTAAAGGACAGCAGGTCACAATGATTATTTTGTGTTGATAATGTCATGAACTGTCAGTTGTGATCTAATTTAAACATGTGCCCTGTGATCACTCCCAGTGCTCCAAATATTTCTGCCTTGGACTTCTCTGTTTCCACTTCTGACTTCTGATGGTTTTTTCCTGTATTTTCTCTCTGTGCAGTTTCTTTTTGCTTTATGATGAACTGGATTTCCTACAGAGTCTTGCAAAACATGAAAAGGAATAAAATATCTTTGGTCATGACCTTCCCAGAGCTTTACACACCTCAGGTTTTAGCAGGAGTTAGTAAACACACATCCCTCAGGGACTGGGTTGGTTTGGATGAGGAGGGAGCACAGAGGAGGCCACAGAGATGCTCTGAGGGCTGGAGCATCTCTGCTGTGGAGATGGGCTGGGAGAGCTGGGGCTGTTCAGCCTGGAGAAGGCTCCAGGGAGACCTCAGAGCCCTTCCAGGAGAGCTGAGAGGGACTTTGGACAAGGGGGAGTGGCTTGATGGGATAATGGAGAGAAAATGTTCTCTGTGAGGGTGGGCAGGCCCTGGCACAGGGTGCTCAGAGCAGCTGAGGCTGCCCCTGGATCCCTGGCAGTGCCCAAGGCCAGGCTGGACAGGGCTGGGAGCACCTGGCACAGTGGAAAGTGTCCCTGCCCATGGAAAAGGGTGCAATGAGATGAGCTTTAAGGTCCTTTCCAACCCAAACCATTCTGTCACTGTATGGGGCACAGGAGCTCTGGGGCTCTCCTGGATGAGGAAGGCTTTTGCACATCTGGAGTGTGCTGTGCATTTTTAGAACCAATGCATTAAGCAGCAAGCCATGACATTCTAGGGCACAAGCTGTGATGCAGGGTGGGAATGGGACCACATCTGCTTTCCAGGGCTTGCCCTGCCTTGGCACAGCCTGCACCCTTCCTCCACGGCCTCCCTTTGCTGGAAAAGGCTTTTGGAGCTGGGGGTCACTGGCCCTGCTCAGGTGTCAGAACCAGGACATCCCTCTGGCTGTCCTGGATGGCTCCAGCCCCTGCCAGGGGGCTCAGAGACCCTGGCACAGAGCCCAGGACACACCTGGGACTTTGATTATGACCCATGGAGCAAATTACCACCTTTATGTGAAGAATTGCAAGTCAAGAGAGTTTAAGTAGAATAATAGTTAGTTTGTCACAGGGTGAAGAATAGATTTTTTTAGTTTTTAGAATGAGGGCTCAGGGTCCCAAGACTGAAGAATTTGGGCATGCCTTGTCCCTTTTCCTTCCTCTTGGCCTCCATGTTCTAAGTGATGGTGGCATTTTTAGATTATTTTAGAGTAGAAGCTCACTGTCTAACATAGGTGATAGGTATTGAGAAGTTATTGTAAATAATGTACATGTAGTTTTTAGTATAAAAAAATAACACCAGTGTGCCTTAACCTGACCTGCCAGACAGACCCCAGCAGGTCAGAGAAAGAATTTTATAGATAAGAAACAATAAACAACCTTGAGAACTCCCATCATCCCCTCTGTGAAACCACCCACATCCACGGGACAGCTCTGCCACCTGAGCATTGTCTGCTCTGAGGATCTGCCTCGGTATCTGTCTGCCAGGGCTGCTGTCATTGCCTCCCACATCTGAGTCCTATCACTGAGCTCCCTCCTACATCAAACCTTGCAGAGCCTTCAAGGGAGGTCTTCACTCTGAAATTCTGTGAAATCTGTGCCCTGGCTGGGAACCTACAGCTCTGCCTGCCTCTTGCTTTGGGAACTTCCAGTCTGGGGATTTCCTGGCTCCTTGCACCCCTGTGGGGCAGCAAGTGAGCCTGATCAGATTTGAGGTCCTGAGGCTCCTTGAGTGCATTAAAATGCTTGGGGATTCATGATTTAAGTATGCAATTGCCCTCGTCTTCCTTGTGCAGTGTGGGAATGGTTTCATGCCCCTTGTGTATCTGTGCCTGGGCAGGGGAGCTGCTTCCCAGCCCCTCATCCCTTGAAAGCAGCCCTGGAGAGACCCACTCCAGCCCCAGAGGAAATTCCTGCTGGGGCTACTGCTCTGCTTTTTCCCTTTATTAATTGCTTATTAGCAGAAATAAGTGTTTTCCCAGTGGGTGGAAAGTATGGCCTCAGGCTGCTCCAGGCAGAGTGGCTGCTGTGGGACCTGCCCAGCCAGAAATGAATATATTCATATGTGGATTTTATTGCTAAAGGCAGGGAGGCCCCTGCTCCAGGCAGAGTGGCTTCTGTGGGACCTGCCCAGCCAGAAATGAATATATTCATATGTGGATTTTATTGCTAAAGGCAGGGAGGCCCCTGCTTCAGGCAAAGCCCAGCTGGAGGCTGTGTCTGGAGAGCTGCCCAAGCCAGGCCCTGCAGGCAGGGACCTTCTCTCCCAGTGTGCTCCCTTTGAGCTGGGCTGTATAAAATTTATATATAGGGGTTTTCTGTGGCTCACTGGGCTGGATGCTCTAATGTCCTTTTATTTGCAGAAGCATGGGACATACTGTGCTCCTACAGGATGAACACAGGACCCAACTATCACCTCCTCAGCAGGGTATCCCTACAGGTGCTGGTCCAAATGCAGCCAGTGATGACCCTGGCAGAGCAGCTTTCCTCAGAGGCTGGGCTGGGGACAGCTGTTCCCTCCTGCAGCTTTTGGAGGATTCTCTTTCCCTCTCCTGGTGGAGGTGAATCCCTGGTGGAGGTGAATCCCTTTGCACATGGCTGTGGCAGAGCTTGGCACTGCAGGAATGGCTCTGGGCTGCTGGTTCCTCCTGAGCAGCAGGGAATCACTGATGGCATAATGTGAGCAGTACCAATGCCCTTTCTGGGCAGATTTGTGCAGTGGAGATGCTGTGACCTGAACACACAACCCCAGTGCATGGCTGGAGGCAGGACACGGCTGTGTTCCACAGCCAGGCTGAGAGCTGCTGAAGAGATCCCATTCACCTGGGATCTGGCTGCTTGGCACATTCAGAAACCTCTGAATAGGAAAAGAGGTGTCACAGACATATTTTGTGAAAAATCCTTTCCTTAGGATCTTTTCTCCTGAGAAGCTGAGAGGCCTCAGAAACGAAATGTAAACATTGATTATCTGCTGCTGTGGAATGGTGCATCTGTGATTGGTCTCATGTGGTTGTTTTTAATTAATGGCCAGTCACAGTCAGCTGGCTCAGACTCTCTGGTCAGTCACAATATTTTATTACTATTCCATTCCTTTCCTTGCAAGCCTTCTGATGAAATCCTTTCTTCTATTTTTTTAGTATAGTTTTAATATATCATTTTCTTTTAATATAATATATAAAATAAAATAATAAATCAGCCTTCTGAAACATGGAGTCAAGATTCTCATCTCTTCCCTCGTCCTGGGACCCCAGTGAACAAAGAGGTCAAGGCAGGATCTGTGTGTCCCCTCAGAGATATTTCATTGGAGCATGGCCTTGGCCTCTCCCTGGTGTAAGAGCCCTGCTCCTGCTCTCCTGGTTCTCCAGGGCAGAGGAGCCCCAGCCCTGTGCTGCCCTAGAACTTTTGGGTACAGGCTTGGAGGAAGTCACACTCCTGCTTCGGGAGGTTTGTGTGAGACAGAGACATGTCCTGGTGGTCCCATTCCTGGGGCTGCTGCTGCTGCTCTCCCAGGCATTGCCACTGGACACTTCTGTGGGGAGGAGAGGAGTGGAGCAGGCTGGACAACAGCCTGAGTCCCACGTTTGTTATCCCTGTCAGAACTGTGCAGCACTGCCACAGCCATCACATGTCATAGGTGTTGTCCTGCTGGGACAAATTCATTTACCCAAGACAGTGGGGCTGGAGAAATCCACCAATCCTGCTGGTTAGAAATCTTCAATCATTGCTCCTAGTGAGGGGGATGACTTTACAAACTCCCTAAAACACACATAGAGAAAAACCTCTGCAGCCTGCAGCTGCTGGCACTGCAGGGTGGCTGAGTGAGGAGCCACCAGGAAGCCACCTAATATCACCTTGCACTGGCTAGAGCAGTGACAAGAGTCCTGGAGAGAGCATGAACTGTCCTGCTGCTGTCCTGGAGCTTGGGGACAGGGCACCCCTGCCCATCTTGGTGTCCTTGGTGGCTGTCAGGGTGTGCAACACCTCCTGCAAGAGTCCCTGGGTGCTCACAGCTTGTGGCAATCACCAACCCAGCTGTTCAGCTGCTCCAAGGTTGTGGAATTCAGCACAACAAGCCACTGCTTGGCTGCAGCTTTTTGCTCTCAGTTACTGGTTTTTGAATTCTTGTGGTAAATAAATATGAGGGGTGAGAGCTCAGCCTGGCTGCTGGGCTGTGCCAGCTGTAGGTCAGTGCTCATTGCAGGCATAACAGCCTGAAGTTTTGGTTTGTGGTATAATTTGCAACCTGAAGTTTTGGTTTCTGGTGTAATTTGCAGCCTGAAGTTTTGGTTTCTGGTATAATTTCTCTTACTTAAAAAAAAAAAAATTGTACAGAGAAGCTGTAAAATAAAACAAGTGTTCGTGTTCATATTTTGTCTCTTGTTTTGACTGTCCAGGTGATCTGGGGTGAAGTGAAATCAGAACAGACGTGAGTTTGGGGGAGTTCCTGACGCAGGGTAGGATCTTAAAATATTTTCTGTGTAGTCCTGACATATTCTGCTGAAATGCTGTGGTATAGCATCCTGGGAAGGGTGGTGCTGCGTATCAGAGAGGAGGAATTTGATGATTTTTAAGTCTACAAGAATAGAAGTAGGACAAATGCAAATGTGCTGAGTGAAGGGATGGTCCCTTCACAGAGTGATTTTGCACCATCCCGGGTCTGGAATGTGACACCTTCCAAAAAGACACTTCTGAAAACAATCATGAAATGCATTGGCCCACAAGGCTCCTGCTCCAGCCATCTTTGTGCCACCACAGCTGCCTGATCTCAGCTTTACAGAAACCCTTGGGAGCGTCCTGAGGAGCTCCTGGGAAGGTTTGGGGGGTCAATGTTGAGCAGCAGATGAGGAAGGCTCTGCCTGAGCAGTGGGAGCAAACTGGGACTGTGGCCAGGGGGTGCAGGAGCTGCACAGATCCTGTCCCGTGGAGCTGTGCCCTCCCACGGGCTGCTCCTGAGATGACAGCTTGGCAAACCATGGAAAAGGTGTAGGGATTGATGTGGAAGGCAGGAATCAGCAGAATGAAGCATGAAGAAGCCATTCCCTGTCCTGTAGCTGCTGTGTGCCTCAGGGAGAAGCTGCTGGGTGCCCTTGGGCAAAGGAGAGCTTTGCTGTCACTGTCCTGGACACTCAGGTGTTGCTGTCACCTCTGCTGGCCCTGTGCC